AAACTCTCATCTCTACAGAGCTTCTGCAGGCATTTGGTCCCAATTTTGCTTCTTAAATATGGTTTTAGGTTTTGTTTACAACTTTTAAAAAACAACACAGTGCACAGATTTACATGTTGTATATACAACATTTTAACTGATGGAGAAGCTAATTTGCTGCCAGGTTTTTGTGGAGACCTAAAAATGTTTCTGCCACCTACATATATTTAAACTTCTCCTTTAAAATTTTTTTTTGTTTATAACTTCTTATAAATGTGCAATTGATAACTTCTATTATGCCACCGGTTTTTGCTTAAATGAAGGCCCACCTTTGTCTACTTGGTTAAAATTGTACAAGTTCAGTACTTCCTGTAGAGTACTGTATCATTCTCTGTTACATGCCATTTGGAGGCTGGGCATGGTGGCTCACGCCTGTAATCCCAGCACTTTGGGAGGCCAAGGCAGGCGGATCACCTGAGGTTAGGAGTTTGAGACCAGCCTGGCCAACATGGTGAAACCCCATCTCCACTAAAAAATACAAAAATTAGCCAGGCATGGTGGCGTGCACTGTAATCCCAGCTATGTAGGAGGCTGAGGCAGGAGAATCGCTTGAACCCAGGAGGCAGCGTATTAGGAGGAGGCTCATTATTTTTTACTTACTGACTTGGTAATAAGTCAGTATTACAAATTCAAACTTAAACGCAACTACTTTTATTGATTTTTACATATATTTATATGTAGTTAAGTATCAAGTTGTTAACCCAAATAAAGACAAATACTCTAATCTCAATATGAGTGAATTCAATAGAATTTTAAGATTTCTGAAGTTATAAAATGTTGTGGTTCTAGCTCTGCTATGTTATGCCATCATCCAGTGCAAGATGTGCCCAGTTTCCTCGAGCCCAAGACAAAGTTCATTACTACATAAAACTGAAGGACTTAAGAGATCAGTTGAAAGGCATTGAACGAAATATGGATGTTCAAGAGGTGCAGTATACATTTGACCTACAGCTTGCCCAAGGTACGTTACTGTCCTCATTCCTTTTATTCATTTTGTGTCTGTATATACACACACACACATTACAGAAAGTATTTTGTGGATTTAAAAGCAGGAGAAAAGAAAACAATTATATTTGCAGCCACAGTGCTCTGATAATGGATGATTATCACGCACACACAGATGTTATCACACACACTCTGATAATGGATACACACACACACACACACACACGTATTACAGAAAGTATTTTGTGGATTTAAAAGCAGGAGAAAAGAAAACAATTATATTTGCAGCCAGAATGCTCTGATAATGAATATTAGTCACTGTTAAAATCTCCTTTTACCAAGGTCTTCCCTCTACTCTGGCACTCCTACAGATAATTCACCTTCAGAGTGCCAGAGCAGAGGGATGTAAGAAATATTGTACCCTACCTAATGAATATAAGAGATTTTACAATTCTTATGTGTTTATTTAGTATATGCTATGTTTCAAAGATTAATAGAGACGTACCTCAGTATATATGAACATTCAAGAAAAATAATTGTTCATTATTTCTGAATAAAGCTACTTTCAAAATTGTTGTACAAAATCAGTTTTAAATCCTTTTTACCCTCCTCACAGAGGATGCAAAGAAGATGGCTGTTAAGGAAGAAAAATATGATCCAGGTTATGAGGCAGCATATGGTGGTGCTTACGGAGAAAATCCATGCAACGGTGAACCTTGCGGCTTCTCTTCAAATGGGCTAAGTATGTTTCCCTCCACATGTGTATTCCTTTCAAAGACGGTTTTGCCAGGATTGGGGGGAAGATTTTAATAGAAGGAGAGTAAATGATTGAAGAATGGGAATGGTAATATGAAATTTTATTTAGTGACTAATAGTGAAAAATTGATGGTTATTTCACATTGAATTACACAGACTTTTACAGTGCATTTTCTGTTTGTTTGTTTGTTTTTGAGATGGAGTCTCGCTCTGTCACCCAGGCTGGAGTGCAGTGGCGCCGTCTCAGCTCACTGCAAACTCCGCCTCCCGGGTTCACACCATTCTCCTGCCTCAACTTCCCGAGTAGCTGGGACTACAGGCGCCCGCCACCACGCCCAGCTAATTTTTGTTCGTATTTTTAGTAGAGACAGGGTTTCACCGTGTTAGCCAGGATGGTCTCGATCTCCTGACCTTGTGATCCGCCCCGCCTCAGCCTCCCAAAGTGCTGGGATTACAGGCGTGAGCCACTGTGCCTTGCCTACAGTGGTGCCTGGCCTACAGTGCGTTTTCTTTAAGTCATGAACTCTCGGCCATCTTAGTTGCATTTTCCTCCTTTAATAACAAATGAGGATTAATAACAAATGAGTCCTGTATCTGAAAAATAGAAACTTATAATTGTATTCAGGAAGCTTGCTTAACTATTTTAATAATAATTCTCCTTCACTAGACTGTTAAAATCTCCTACTTTGATCATTTAAAACTTCCAGGTCGGGCATGATGGTTCACAGCTGTAATCCCAGCACTTTGAGAGGCTGAGGTGGGTGGATCATTTGAGGTCAGGAGTTCAAGACCAGCCTGGCCAACATGGTGAAACCCCGTCTCTACTAAAATATACAAAAATTAGCTGGGCATGGTGGCAGGCACCTGTAATCCTAGCTACTTGGGAGGCTGAAGCAAGAGAATCACTCGAACCCGGGAAGCAGAGGCTGTAGTGAGCCAAAATCACCACACTGCACTCCAGCCTGGGTGACAGAGTGAGACACCGTCTCAAAAAGAAAAAAAACTTCCAAAGAAGCTGATGTGGTGGCTCACCCCTGTAATCCCAGTGCTTTGAGAGGCTAAGATGGGAGGATCACTCAAGCCCAGGAGTTTGAGGCTGCAAAGAGCTGTCATCGTGCCACTACATTCCAACCTGGGGGCGACAGAGTGAGACCCAGTCTCTATTTTAAAAAAAGCAAAAATTTCTAAATGGCATAAACTAACTTTGTCTTTCTGGCAGTTGACAGTGTGGAGTTAAGAGGAGAATCAACTTTCAGTGGCATTCCTAATGGGCAGTGGATGACCCAGTCATTTACAGACCAGATTCCTTCCTTTAATAATCACTGTGGAACACAAGAACAGGAAGAAGAAAGTCATGCTTAAGAATGGTGCTTCTCAGCTCTGCTTAAATGCTGCAGTTTTAATGCAGTTGTCAACAAGTAGAACCTCAGTTTGCTAACTGAACTGTTTTATTAGTATTTTACTCTAGTGGTGTAATTGTAATGTAGAACAGTTGTGTGGTAGTATGAACCTTATGAACCTAAGTAGTTTGGAAGAAAAAGTAGGGTTTTTGTATACTAGCTTTTGTATTTGAATTAATCATTCCAGCTTTTTATATACTATATTTCATTTATGAAGAAATTGATTTTCTTTTGGGAGTCACTTTTGATCTGTAATTTTAAAATACAAGTCTGAATATTTATAGTTGATTCTTAACTGTGCATAAACCTAGATATACCATCATCCCTTTTATACCTAAGCAGGGCATGCTAATAATAGTTACCACTGTCAAAGAGGCAAATGTGTTGATTTTTGTATATGAAGTTAAGCCTCAGTGGAGTCTCATTCGTTAGTTTTTAGTGGTAACTAAGGGTAAACTCAGGGTTCCCTGAGTTATATGCACACTCAGACCTCTTTGCTTTACCAGTGGTGTTTGTGAGTTGCTCGGTAGTAAAAACTGTACCTTACCTGACAGAGCCCTGGCTTTGACCTGCTCAGCCCTGTGTGTTAATCCTCTAGTAGCCAGTAACTACTCTGGGGTGGCAGGTTCCAGAGAATGCAGTAGACCTTTTGCCACTCGTCTATGTTTTACTTGAGACACATAAATATGATAGGGAAGGAACTGTATTTCTCCATTCATATTTATCACCATTCTAGTTTTATCTTCCTTGGCTTTAAGAATGTGCCATGGAAAGTGATAAAAAATGAACTTTTAGGCTAAGCAAAAAGATGCTGGAAATACTTCATAATCTCACTTAAACTGGTGCTTTATGTACATGAGATGTACTAAAATAAGTAATATAGAATTTTTCTTGCTAGGTAAATCCAGTAAGCCAATAATTTTAAAGATTCTTTATCTGCATCGTTGCTGTTTGTTACTATGAATTAAATGAACCTCATGGAAAGGTTGAAGTATATACTTTTGTGATTTTCTAATGAGTTTTCCATGGTGCTACAAATAATCCAGACTACTAGGTCTGGTAGATACTAAAGCTGGGTACTAAGAAATGCCATTTGCATCCTCTCAGTCACTCCTGAATATTCTGATTTCATACATACCCAGGGAGCATGCTGTTTTGTCAATCAATATAAAATATTTAGGAGGTCTCCCCCACCCCCAGGAGGTTATATGATTGCTCTTCTCTATGAGAGAAACAAATTCTTGTTTTGAATCTTAACATGCTTTTTAGCTGTGGCTGTGATGGATTTTATTTTTCCTTAAGTCTAGGTCAAGCTGTGTAAAAGTCATTTATGTTATTTAAATGATATACTGTACTGCTGTTTACATGGACGTTTTGTGCGGGTGCTTTGAAGTGCCTTGCATCAGGGATTAGGAGCAATTAAATTATTTTTTCACGGGACTGTGTAAAGCATGTAACTAGGTATTGCTTTGGTATATAACTATTGTAGCTTTACAATAGATTGTTTTATTTGAGTGGGGAAAATACCATTTAAATTATGACAGACATCCACTAGAGATGGGTTTGAGGATTTTCCAAGCATATAATAATGATGTTTTTCCTAACATGACAGATGAGTAGTAAATGTTGATATATCCTGTACATGACAGTATGAGACTTTTTCATTAAATAATATTGAAAGATTTTAAAATTCATTTGAAAGTCTGATGGCTTTTATAATAAAATATATTAAGAATTGTTATCCTTAAGTTATGGGCTTTTTCTGTAGCAAAACTGAGTGGTATTCTTTCCCCTTTAAACCTGAGGTCAGTTTACCTTCTATTATATTTAACATGTAGAATAATAACATGATAAAAGTCATAAAAATGATGAATATTTTATTTTTCAGACATCCATATTTTAAATGCAATAGTTTTATAAAAGAAAAGATTGGCAACCTGTTAAAAAGATCTACATGTGAAAAATACATTTAGAAGTTTTAAAAATTTGTGGATATAATTGTTATTCAGAATTAAGCAGATTGATTACTGGTATCTAGATGGGTCTGTTCCTTTATGTTTTTCAGTCACATAATCTCGATTTCCATAGTTAACACATGTACTTAAAGAAGTCAGTCAATGCCTATATGGTCCAAGGTATAATTTGCACACAGTAGTTTTTGGTTTTTATATTGTGGCTCATCTGTATCAAACGTAATGTTCATAAAGAACAATGTTATAGTTGGCTACAAAGAGACAATTCCACATTTCTAGACAGGGAATATTTTAAGGGTAGAGTTATATCAGCTATGGTGATTGAGTTTAAATATCCCTGCAGGGTCAGGAACAAACCAGCTTTCCCATAAGTCGTTGTGAACACTAGGGAAGTCCCAAGGTTTATGTCTTCCATTCCAGTGGAGTAATTTAGCTTCCTGCAGAAAATGCTCCGAATATCTGGCATCTGGATTCCAGCCTTCATTGCGTTTAAAGAAAAAATAATAGGCTTGTTAGAGGATAACATTTTTGTATTATAAATTGAATACAAGTTCATAGTTTAAAAAAAGGTAAACAAAAGGGTTATACAGTGAATTTTCTACCCACCCCATGTCTCCAAATCAACCGTTGTTAGTCTCTTGTGAATCCTTCTAGTAAAGCTATAGCATTGTTTGACCTGTATGCATGTATATGTATATTTAAAGACAGAAGATGAGCATACTGCTACCTTGCCTTTAAAAAAAAAAATTATTTTATTTCTTTATTTGGACATTGCCTTTTAAAATTACTGTCTTGGAAAACTTTCCACAGCAGTACATGTGGATTTACCAAATTATTTTTAGTGACTGTAGAGAATGATAGATAATTATTTATTGACCAAGTTCCTTATTAAGGACATTTAGATTGTTTCTGTCCTATCATTAGCATCAGCACAGCAATGAACGCCCCTCTGTGTGTGTCTAGTCTATGTGCACAGTTATATCTGTAGGATAAGGTATTGTAGGTGGGATTGCTAGATTGAAGGGTGTGTGCCTTTTCAGTTCTGATAGAGATTGCCACATTGTCCCCGAAAAAGTTCTATTAATTTTCCTCCCACCCAAGAGTTTATAGGCCTTCCTTTTTCTCTGCATTTCACCTCCTTAATGAAAAATGGCAACATTTTCTTTTGAACAGTCTTGTCTTCATGTAAAATGTGACTAAGGTCTACTTTTTAAACAGCTATCTCCACCTGAATATTACTCCCCTCATAAGTCATCACTTCAAGAGACTATCCATTTACCCTAACAGTGTCATTGCTTAGAATATTTTTTAGAATGCCTATTCTAGAACTACATTAAGGTGGTGTGAATGTAAAATTTTAAAAAAATCTCTATAGCGTTCAACTTTCTTTCCATGAAAAGGAATTTGATATATATATTATTTAAACAGCTGAAAGTCCATTGAATTATGAGAGGGTTGATTTGCTAGGGTTATGTTATTCTAGTGTATGACGTTAACAACAACACAACCTGGCTTTTGTTACTAATAAACATAGCTGTGACGGCAGCTGCAGAAGAGAAACTAGTTGTTTGAAGCTACTGCAGCATAATTGGAATAATTATCAATCATCAGAGTCTATAAAAAGGAAATATTCATTTGGGAAGAGGCACCTTCCTGTGAAAAGTCTCTACTAAGGGCATCCTCATCTCTCAGCTTCGTAACTGAAGGGCTATGCAGAACTACCTCAGAGGGGCTTGCAATTTGGGTGATGAAATTGCTTTTAGCTAAATATATTTTGTAAATTTAAAAAATATTAAGCCTGCCTGTTTAGACCCAAACTTAATGCCCATTAGTGTTATGTTGCCCTTCTACCTCCAGAACACCCTAAAACCTCATTTTTTTCAAATGATTTTTGTGTAGATTTACTTTGCACACCATCCCTGATTCCAAAACCTTCAGCACAGATGGAAGCTCTGTTCTGCAAAGAAAAATGACATCTTTCCTTGGGGAAGAATATGTCCCTTCCTACTTGTCAGTAAGTTGGATATTTCTCTCTTTTCTTTTTTTTTCTTTTGAGATGGAGTCTAGCTCTGTCACCCAGACTGAAGTGCAGTGGCATGATTTCTGCTCACTTCAATCTCTGCCTCCCAGGTTTAGGCTATTCTTCTGCCTCAGCCTCCCGAATAACTGGGATTACAGGTGTGTGCCACCATGCCCAGCTAATTTTTTGTATTTTTAGGAGAGATGTGGTTTTACCATGTTGGCCAGGCTAGTCTTGAACTCCTGACCTCAAGTGATCCACCTGCTTCGGCCTCCCAAAGTACTGGGATTACAGGCATGAGCCATTGTGCCTGGTCTAAGTTGGATGTTTCATAAAATGTAATTCTGAGTCTCTGTCTCAAGATCATAAAATGCTGCAACCTTATTGATCTAAGCTCTGCATAACTGTTCCTACACATTTTTAAAAATAGACCTTCTACTTTGATGGGATCTGCACATGGAAAGGTTGATATTTCACCTAATGTTGAACCCAACATGACTCTAAATCAAATCAGACAGAACACTAACTTCCCTATGGCACTCTTGTGCATACACATGCTCAGGAAAATCAGAGGATTCTGGTAATAATGCAAAAGCAATCCACAGAATTATCGAGAGCAAACAGGAACTCAGCCTCCACAATTATATCCTTTAAAAAAAAAAAAAAAAAAAAAAGATTATGGGACATAACACCTTGCAGGTTGTTGTGAGAATTAGAAATAATATTCACCTTCCTTAACAGAACCTAGTCCAGTTCTTAGCAATGTAATGGACACTTGGTAAATATAAGTCCATATCCATTGCCTCCAATTCTAAAATAATCCCCAAAGGTCTGAAGAGAAAAGGTTTTTTAATAACTTCTTTGGCAGTAAAACCTAGATCCTACTCAGCACCACATTACCTTTTAAAAATCCAAACCCTTTCTAAACTTCTAAACAGGTCTGGCCCAGGGGTTTTGGATAAGGGATAGTGGCATGTGTTAGGGTGGATGTGAATGTGTCCTCTATGCTAGGCTCTATGCTAAGCCATTTTTTTTTTTTTTTTTGAGACGGAGTCTTGCTCTGTCACCCAGGCTGGAGTGCAGTGGCCGGATCTCAGCTCACTGCAAGCTCCGCCTCCCAGGTTCACGCCATTCTCCTGCCTCAGCCTCCCGAGTAGCTGGGACTACAGGCGCCCGCCAGCTCGCCCGGCTAGTTTTTTTTTTGTATTTTTTAGTAGAGACGGGGTTTCACCGTGTTAGCCAGGATGGTCTCGATCTCCTGACCTCGTGATCCGCCCGTCTCGGCCTCCCAAAGTGCTGGGATTACAGGCTTGAGCCACCGCGCCCGGCCAAAGCCATTTATATGTATTCAGTAACTTACCCAAAATCATAGTTGGGATTCCAATTCATACAAAAACCCTACACTTGTGTAGTGAATAAAAGACTTGAGGAACTCACAGAGAACAGAGTCAACTGCTTTTTAAAGGATAAATTTTAATGGCAGCTTTCTGAATTCATCCTAAGCCATTATGCTAATTTATTTGGTTTTGTCCACTGTAAGTTACTGCAAGAGAAAATAAAAGTGTGGCTTGACAGTTCCATAAAGTTTTGAAGTTTTGGCAGTGAAAGTTTTCTCTCTGTCTCTCTTTTTTTTTTTTTTTGGTTTGAGACGGATTTTCACTCCTGTCACCCAGGTTGGAGTGCAGTGGTGCTGTCTTAGCTCACTGCAACCTCCACCTTCCAGGTTCAAGCGATTCTCCTGCCTCAGCCTCCTGAGTAGCTGGGATTACAGGTGCCTGCCCCCATGCCCAGCGAAATTTTGTATTTTTAGCAGAAACAGTTTTCACCGCGTTGATCAGGTTGGTCTTGAACTCCTGACTTCAGGTGATCCACCCGCCTTGGCCTCCCAAAGTGGTGGAATTACAAGTGTCAGCCACCGCTCCCAGCCGAAAGTTCTCTTAACAGTTAATGTTTACTGAGCACATACTATATGCTAAGCATGAGTTTGATGGCTTTCCATAAATCTCCAGAAACACACCTCGCAGGTAGCTAAGAATATCAGCTGCACTTGCAGAATCTGAGCGCTGAGGGTTAGTCACTTGCCCAAGGTCACCTGGAGGATTTGAACTGAACAACCTGGTGCTGTATGTAGCACCCTCTCCTCGCCATGGTGCTCACTGGATCTATAAAATGCACATTTGCGGCCGGGCATGGTGGCTCATGCCGTAATCCCAGCACTTTCAGAGGCCAAAATGGGTGGATTACCTGAGGGCAGGAGTTTGAGACCAGCCTGGCCAACATGGTGAAACCCCATCAGTACTAAAAATACAAAAATTAGCTGTGCGTAGTGGCACACGCCTGTAATCCCAGCTACTCGAGATGCTGAGGCCGGTGAATTGCTTGAACCCGGGAAGCGGAGGTTCCAGTGAGCCAAGATTGTGCCATTGCATTCCAGCCTGGGTAGCAGAGCGAGACTCTGTCTCAAAAATAAAAAATAAATAAAAAATAAATGGACATTTGCGTTTTTCTAAAATACTTACCCAGGTGCCTTATGTGCCACAGGGGGTTAATTGTGGAGTACTTCCCATGGAACACAATCAGCATTGGGGAGGTGGCCACCCCTCCTCCCAGGGAGCTGCTATAGAGGTTTTCCCTAAGAAATGAAATAGAAAAACAACATTTGGCCTGGAGGCCCCACAAACTCAGATAAAGTCGAATCTAATATTGTAAACGATGTAAGACATTCTCTCACTATGTACTAAGACTTACGGCCTTTCATTCTCCCCCAACTTCCATTTTGAAAATTGTCAAACATACACAAAATAGTAAAATATCATGAACTCCAATATACATCACCTAGACTAACAGTATTAATATTTTGCCATTTTAACCCCCAGGGTTTTAAATAGTAGACACAGGAGATCAAATTCGAATCCTACATTATTTAGAATAACTTTACTTGCAAATTCAAGGTTATGATGGTATTTAAATATCCAGATGCACAAGACTGCTAGGCAATACAATGATGTGATAATCGTGCTTGTATTAGAGTTATTTTTATCATCTCTATTTTAAAACTCTGATAATGAAAAATTATAAATTTTAAAAATCAACCTTAAAAAGCAAAGTTGATTTTATATAATAATTCTTAATAAGAAATCTATGTTAGAAGGGGAAACTCAACTAAGATAAATGAAGATTGTTGGGTGGAAAAGACTCAAGTCACATTTTTCAACGGCTTACTAGGAAAATGTATAATCAGGGACTCCTCACTCCACAGGATCTTGATTCCTCTGATTTATATCTTTTGAGGAAAGATTTTCATTGACTGTCCCCTTTTCTTTCTTAACATTGCCTCTGTAAGAAAATCTGACCTCAGATGACTGTGAAATATTTCTAACTCTTGAACTACGCGTGGAAAATTAACTGAATGATTTTGTTTCCAAGCATGGAAAAAATGGTAGAGAAGTCTTCACGTACTCCACATTCTTTTGCATCCATTTCTCCAATTGCTTGGTGATGTGCTGGTGCTTCCATTCTGTCATGTTGGCAACAATCACACCAGGATTGAAAGAGCAGGTGCTGGGGCTGATGCCGAGGTCCTTGATGGCCTTCTTCCGGTAGTCCAGATAGCCCATATATGTATTCTGTAAGGGAACAGGATGTGCATGCTTTTGACCAGTGAATCTTTTGTTTCTGGAAAATGATCATTTTCTTGAAACCCCTGTGCAGTATCTCTGGGTTTCCTCCTGTGTCACTGGCCACTTGGTAGTTTGTTGTTTTTGTTTTGTTTTGCTGGTTTCCCTCATTTCTCCAACCTCTAAATGCTGAATGCCCTAGGTCTGAGTGCAGCACTAGTGCCTTTCTCTAGCAATAACTCCATAAACAGCCTTGTCCAGTCTCATGGCTCTAAATATCACCCATCTGACAGCCCTGACCTCTCCTCTGGACTTCCAGCTCCTGCTACATCTGCCATCCAAATGTCTCCTTTCAGATGCTTAGTAAGGCAGCTCTAACTTATATCCCAAAATTGACCCCAATCCTATCCCAAACTTGCTTCCCTGCATCTGCCCCACCTCAGTCAGTGGCAACTCTATCCTTCTAGTTACTTGGGCAAAAAAACTCAGGGTCATTAGGTCCTCCTTGACTCCTTTTTTGTCACTCTCTTCTCATCCAAATCTTTCAGCAAATCCTGTTGGTCCCATCTTCAAAATGCCAGAAGCCAAACACTTCTCTTGCCACTACTACTACCTTCCTGTTCAGGCCATAATTGTCACTCACTGGATTTCTGCAAGTTCCTCCTAACCAGTATCCTTGCTTCCACTATTTTCCACCCCACTCTGTCTCTAGGTCACTCATCTCCTCTAAGCTCCTCCAATAGCTTCCCATCTCATTCACAGAAACAGCCAGAGTTCCTAAAATGGCCTGCCATACCCTATATCATCTGACCCTCCAATACCTCTCCAACTCCTGTTATTCTCCTCTTGATCCCTCAGCAACAGTGACCACCTTTAATGAACCAGACTCACCCCTGCCTCAATATCTTTACACTTCTTCCCGCTTCCTGGAGGGTTTCCCCGCTAACCACCTGCACAAGTGGTTCCCTCGATTCTTTCAAGTTTAGATTCAAACAGCACAATCTCAGTGGAGCCTTCCCTGATTACCGTATTTAAAATACAGCCCTGCCTCCACCCGAGTCCTCTGTTAAATATTTTATTTGTTTACTGTCTGTCTGTTCCCACTAGAATGTGAAATACACAAAAGCAAGAGTTTTCATTTTGCTCACTGTATTACTAGCACCTAAAACAGTGTCAGGCACAGAGTAAGCACTCAATAAGTAGTTGTTGAATGAATGTAGTATGGGGCAAGACATACACATTCTTTCACCCATCTAGACTGTCATAATCTATAATTCCTTAATGTGATGCTCTCAAACCTCACACAGGAGTCATGGAAATACTTGAGTACTTTCTATGCACCAGGTCCTTTTCTAAGAACTTTACATGTACTACCTCATTACTCTCATGTAATAGCTTTGTATGTATTAACTAATTTAATTCTCACAATAACTACAAGGGAAGTACTATTATTACTTCTGTTTGACAAATGAGGTAGAAACAACTGGCTAAGTAAATTGCCTGAGGTCATAAAACTACCAAGTGATAGTGCCAAGATTTTGACAAAATTGAATCTGGTCGCAGAGCCTATGCTTTGAAGTGCCTTAAAATGCCACACACATAAAATTATTTGCTAGAAGCTTTTTTGAAAAACAGCATTCAACTCTTAATAACACCTCTTATTTCAAAGCTACCCCTTTAGTTTCAGCATTGCATGTAGGTTCAACTTTCTGATGTAGGTTCCATCAGAGTAAGGAGATCTTTACCCTTAACAAAATCAATATTTTCTTCTACTGGAAGGGGGCTAAAAGCGATGGTCAAAACTCTGAAAATAGAACCAATGGTTCAGCAAGTCTCTTTAACAGAAAACATCATCTCTGACAGAGAGCATGGTGATGAGCCACCTAGGTAACAATGATCATTTCTGGAGCTTTTATTTCATGCTGGACACTTGGACATCATGTTATTTCATTATTGCCCACAAAGACACAACAAAGTAGACATGATTGTTCCCATATTTCAGGTAAGGAAGGTGGGACTTTGCAGGGTTAAAGTAAGTCATCTCAGAGTTGGTAAGGCATGGAGCTGAGATATGAACCAAAGTCCCAGACCCCTGTACTGTTCCGCCTCCCAGCAGTCCAGACTGGCCCATAAGGATTTCAAGGTGGAGGTTACACTCATTTTGAGTTGCAGAGCGGGGAGAAGGGGCCAGAGTTGTAGGGTGAAGGGAGGACTTCCGAGACAGCAATATGCCCACCTGAAGTCCCACGAGTCTGTTTATATCCTGAGCAGAGGGCAAATCGCAGTCATCTGAAAAAGCCGCTGCATGGCCCAGGGCCAAGGTGGTGTCATAAAGTTCTTGGATATCACCTGAATTTAGAAACACTAGCAATTAAAACATTATAGCATTTGTTTTCGGGCTAGATAGAGCCTTAGAGCTTAAACAGTTCTTGATTTTGCTATGGGAGAAAAGTATTGGATCCCTGATTTCAAGTGGCTTGACAATTTATTTAGTGAGAGTCGTGCCTACAGATTTAGAAAGCCACTTAATGATGAGCTCAAATTGGCACTAATCTAATGTCTTTATTTCTGTTGCTCAGTAGGTACCACACCAATGCGTATCCTGTTTGTAGTGGAAGAGACAGAACACAACATTTAAACACCAAAACTTAGCTCACTCCTAAGACTGTCATCTGTGACACTTCATTTCCATACATTATAGGGATATAGGGAAAGGAAAGGCTACCAAGCTATTTATTGCAGGTTTTGACAATCAGAGTCAAACTGGATTGTCTCGGTAAGTATCAACCCGTTTCCAAAATACTTCCACATTTACAACAATACTGTACTCACAACTTAAATAAGCAGTCAAAACTCACTGAGCATTAGCTATTTGAAAAATGAAGAGAGACAGTTATTCTACTTATCAGCTGCTTCTTTTCCAAGTGTTCTTGGCAGTTAGCGAGAGTACCTTGTACAATTACATCATCGTCCAAATAGATGACTTTCTCATGTTGGTGGATAAGTAGAGGGAGATAAAATCGAACAAAGTTCAGCTGTTAAAACAACAAAAGAAATGATGGTGGGGGAGAGGCATATGGCTTAGTGTCTTCTGGGGGTACTGGCGAGTCGGCTTTGACCATGGCCTCCGCTCAGCTCCAGGTCTGGAGCGGAATGAAACAGGAGCTAGCAAGATGTCTCATCTGAGCTTCCCAGTGCCCAACTTATCTGAGGCCTGGGGCTGAAGCCAGCGCTGGCGGATCAGCTGTTCTGCTAGATCCAAACCCCCTAGTGCTGAGGCTGTTGCCACTTTCATCTCTGTGAACCGCTGCAGTGGGAGTCACAGAGGCTCCTTAGTCAATCTTTTACGGCACAAATCACCTGCCTTTCTCTACATGCAGTAATGTTGATAATTGTCAATTAAATCAGCCTTAAATACACACACACACACACACACACACGTGTCATCCCAACAGCAAGCTCAACCTTTTAGCTCCTTGAACCAGAAAAAGGAGCAGTATGACCTGTGTGTAGGAACTTCGAAGTTTCACTACTGACAACATTGCTTAATCTGAAGTCTTAGCTTGTACTCTGACAATACCTGGAACTGGGGAGAGACCACATGGACAGAGGTCTCAGAATTAAGTAAATTTTCAGGGATGAATTTAAGTAACAATCATATGTAAAAGGTGGCTTGCAGTTTCTGTAAAACTGCTATCAAAAACACCACTATTGTCTTTTTTTCTTTTTTGAGACAGGGTCTCACTCTGTTGCCCAGGCTGAAGTGCAGTGGCATGATCACGGCTCACTACAGCCTCGAACTCCCAGGCTCAAACAATCCTCCCACCTCAGCCTCCTGAGTAGGTAGCTAGGACTACAGGGGTGTGCCATCATGCCTAATTTTAAAAAATATATTTTTTTGAGACAGAGTCTTACTCTGTCGCCTAGGCTGGAGTGCAGTGGCATGATCTCAGCTCACTGTGACCTCTGCCTCCCAGGTTCAAGCAATTCTCCTGCCTCAGCCTCCTGAGTAGCTGTGACTACAGGTTCTTGCCACCACACCCAGCTAATTTTTGTATTTTTAGTAGAGACAGGGTTTCACTATGTTGGCCAGGCTGGTCTCGAACTCCTGACCTCGTGATCCGCCTGCCTCAGCTTCCCAAAGTGTTGGGATTACAGGCATGAGCAACCATGCTTGGTCACTAAATAAAACTTTTAAAGTATAAATGGGGTCTCAATATGTTGCCCAAGCTGGTCTCAAACTCCTGAGCTCAAGCAATCCTTCCCGCTCAGCCTCCCAAAGTGCTGGGATTACAAGCACGAGCCAGCGCGTCCGACCAAAAACACCACTTGTTATGCAGGAGAGGGTCCCTTTGGTAAGAACTCTTGCAGTAAAATACCTTAAGATTCCCAACGCTAGGAAAAGAGTTGATGTCTCCTGAATATATTATATTAGTCAATACTAGGAAGTATATAATCCATCAGGCTACTGTTTTTTCTTAACAATCGGACACTCAGAGGCAGATTTAACGTACAATCACAGTTAAATATCCCAACAGCCGGTGGGTTTGGGATACTTTTTCCTGGCCTCAGCTACCTGGCCCTTCTCCAGCTCCCACCCCCACAGACATATTCACACCCGTAAATGCATTCTACATTTTTTTTAATGCTTCACTTCTTCTTTAATAAACTTCATTGTGCTTCTATAAACCATCTAAAATCCTTTCTGTAGCAGCTGGCTTATAAATTACACATAAGCAGAGTTTGGTGGAGATCAACACCACAAGGCTTCAAAAATAATATTCCACATGCATGCCGGTGACTAGCACTCCTTTACTCAACATAGGTCTCACCAAGGACTGTCCGCAGCACCTGTGTGCTCCCTACTTACGGGCTGGAGCAATTCAGGCCTCGATGAGTCTGGTCTGATCTTCCCTTTGAGGACCATCGGGTTGAATTCCACGATTTTAAAGTTTATTTCTCTCAGTTTGGAATGTTCAATCCATTTTCTAAAAAGATGACCAAAAAACCTCTAGTATACCCTTCAATTCTTTCCTCCGTTTGCCTATTGCCCCAGGGTCAATCTGTTGCCTCCCTAGAAAGTTAAAATTAAAATGTGTGTAAATTTAGTAGAGTTTAGTCCAATAAATCCTTCTGACTTTTCTCCCCATCTGGTGTGACTTTAAATCTTTTTTTCCCCTCAATCACGTAACTCTTTCTGCAAAGGAAATGAAGCAAAATAGTAATAACCAAATCTCTCCCCAGATCCAAATAATTTCCCCAGGAAACAGGAAGAATGAAAAGTGTTCTTTCTTATAAAGCAGCATCTGTGATTGCTGGTACTGTCTTCGCCATGTGGTAACAGCTCTGAAATGTTATGAAACAGGACATTCTGAACCCTCAACTTTGATTGAAGTCATTTTTACTCTGTGGTTTCGACTCCAAGGCTGATTTGAATTTACCTTTGTCTCTTTGATTTGGTCCCTTGATCTTCCCCATCTGTCTTCATTCCCCATCTCCTCCCCCTCCCTCTCCCCTTCTGTTTTCTTGGTCTTTCAGAATTTTTGTCTTGTATCCAATTCATAATGAGATTCTTGGTAGAAATAATCTCAAAATAAAATGTCCAGTGACTAAAGTCACCTAGGGTAGTATTTGTTGTTGACTAAAAATCAACAAAAGAATTAAATGTGAACAAAATTTAGATCTGCAAAATCTGAAAAAATAATTGGTCATATCAATTAGAAAAAGATAGACTAACAGAAAAATAGGCAAGAGACCTGAACACTTACTTCCAAATGGTTACAAAGTGTGTGGGAAAAGTGTTCAATGACATTAGAAATAAGGAAACCTCAAATTTCTAGATAGCACTGGACACTAATCAAAATGGCAAACTTAAAAAGACTGATTATACTGTTAGTGAGAACATGCTGGATGTTACATGAGTGTGTTTACTTTGTGATGATCCAGTAAACTTCACACTGGATTTATGCAATTTTCTGTTTTGGGATTCTACTTCAATGAAAAAAACTTTAAAATATGTAAAAGGGGGCAGGGAGTAGACTGGACAGCAAGAACTAGGAAACAGCCCCTGGCCAAAGTCAGAAAGTCATGAGGCTCATGCCTTTTGCTAAGGACAAACCCTTCCCCAGAAACCTTATACATGCCATCCTTTTGGATTTAGTTATCTAGTTTTCATACCCATGGATAGTTAATGGACTGTTAACAACAGGCTAAGTGAATGATGAGCAATAGTATGATAAGGAGAGTGAGAAATGAGACAGAGAACCAGAAAGCATACACAAGACATCAAAACCCAGGGCAGCCAAGGGCCATTTAGATTACAGGAAAGCACCTTACAGATCTCAGTACCTCCTGATGGCACCACTACAAAAACATTTAATTATAAAAGCAGTGTGTAAATACATTCTCCTTTTGAACGATCAAATAATACTGAAACACCCTGAATTTCCCTTCATCAGCACCCTCCCCAATTCCTCTGTCCTCCCAAGAGATAGTCAGTGTTAACAATTTGATAGCTTTCCAGTTCTTTTTCTTCACAGAAACACATACATGTTCATGTACACACTTATAGTTAGGGGTTTTGAATTTCATAAAGTAGATCATACTATACGAGTTATACTGCAACCAGCTTTTTTCACTTAACAATATGCCTTGGGAATCTCCTATGTCTGTTTAGACAGAGTGCCTTCTTTCTTTAACATCTGGATCATATTTCACAGTTCATTTAAATATTCTTCCATTGGTGGACATTTCAGCACTTTGAAATGTTTTCACTAGTTCACATAATGCTGAAACTAGCATTGTTGTACACGTATTTTGGTAATATGTGCTAGAAATTTTGTAGTACAGATTCCTGGAAGAGGAAATGGCATGTGAGTCAAATTATATATGCATACAACCTTTTGATAGATATTGCCATGTTGACCTTGCCAAATGCTTTACCAGCTTAGAAAATGCACATTGTGTAAATAAGGGATAAGCATGTCCATTTGCCTGCACTGGGTAATGTTCTGTTTAATTTTTGCCAACTTGATGAGTGAAGAATTATGTCACTGAAGTGACATATATGTTTTCATTTTTATTTTCATTGTCAACAATGCAAAAATGTTTCAATTCACATTTTCCTATTAATAACATAGAAAAACTTTATTTATTATTTTTTATTTTTGGAGATGCAGTCTCACTCTGTCACCCAGGCTGGAGTGCAGTGGCTCAGCAGATCTCAACCGAGTTCAGTGATCTCAGCTCACTGCAACCTCCACCTCCTGGGTTTAAGCCATTCTCTGGCCTCAACCTCCCCAGTAGCTGGGATTACAGGCAAGTGCCAACATGTCCAGCAAATTTTTGTATTTTTAATAGACACGGGGTTTTGCCATGTTGGCCCGGCTAGTCTCAAATTCTTGACCTCAGGTGATCTGCCCGCCTTGGCCTCCCAAAGTACTAGGATTACAGGAGTGAGCTACTGCGCCTAGCCTTATTTATTTATTTTTAGCTGAAACAAGGTCTCACTCTGTTGGCCAGGCTGGAGTTAAGTGGTGCAATCTTATCTCACAGCAGCCTCAAACTCCTGAGCTCCAGGGATCCTCCCACCTCAGCCTCCCATGAAGCTACATATAACCACCCTCAGCTAATTTCTAAAATTCTTGGTAGAGACAGAGACCTTGCTATGTTGCCCAGGCTGCTCTCGAGCCTGACCCCAAGTCGTCCTTTTTCCTTGGCCTCCCAAAGTATTGGAAATATAGGAGTGAGCCATTTCACCCAGCCTACAATACCTTTTCATGTTTTTGGCCATTTGTATGTTTTTCCTCTGTGAATTGTCTGGTTATATTCTACGCCCATTTTTTAACTATGTTTTTAAAATTTTTGTGTTTTTTGTAACAATTTTTGTAACAATTCTGTATTTTGGATAGTAATTCTTTGTCTATAATAGATGTTAAAAATACTTTGTCCTGGTCAGGAGCGGTGGCTCACGCCTGTAATCCTAGCACTTTGGGAGGCCGAGGCGGGTGGATCATGAGGTCAGGAGATCGAGACCATCCTGGCCAACATGGTGAAACCCCATCTCTACCAAAAATACAAAAAAAGTTGGCCGGGTGTAGTGGTGGGCGCACCTGTAGTCCCAGCTACTCAGGAGGCTGAGGCAAGAGAATGGTGTGACCCGGGAGGCGGAGCTTGCAGTGAGATCACGCCACTGCACTCCAGCCTGGGTGACTGAGCAAGACTCCTTCTCAGAAAAAAAAAAAAAAAAAAAAAAAAAAAAAAAAAATTTTGTCCTAATCTATTGTATGAATAGCTTCACTTGTATTTTTCATCATTGTAAAGTTTTTCAATGTTATGCAGTCAAATCTGTGCACTTTTCTTGATGATTTCTGGGCTCAGAGAGACACACTCCATACCAAAATTTTACAATTATCTTTCATTTTTATAATATGTTCAAATTTTAATTTTCTGTTTATTTCTTCTTAATCCAAAAATAAAGGAAATCAATTTAAGGAAATAAAAGAAAGTAGAAGCCAGGTGTGGTGGTTCACACCTGTAATCCCAGCATTTTGGGAGTATGAGGAGGGGGGATTGCTTGAACCCAGGATTTCAAGACCAACCTAGGCAACAAAGCTCTCCACAAAAAATTTAAAAATAAGCTGGGTGTGGTAGCATGCACCTGTAGTCCCAGCTATTTGGAGGTGGAAACAGGAGGACTGCTTGAGCCAGGGAGGTCAAGGCTGCAGTGAGCTGTGATTGCACCACTCCACACTCCAGTCTGGGCAACACAGCAAGATCCTATAAGAAAGAAAAGAAAAGAAAAGGAAAAGAAAAGTGAAAGGGAAAGGGAAAGGAAAGGAAAGGAGGGAAGGAAGGAAGGAAGGAAAGAAAGAGAAAAAAGAAAGAAAGAGAAAGAAAAAGAAGGAAAGAAAGAGAGAGAGAAAGAAGGAAGGAAGAAAGGAAGGAAGGGAAAGAAAGAAGGAAGGAAGGAAAGAAAGAAAGAAAGAAAGAAAGAGAAAGAAAGAAAGAAAGAAAGAAAGAAAGAAAGAAAGAAAGAAAGAAAGAAAGAAAGAAAGAGAAAGAAAGAAAGAAAGAGAAAGAGAAAGAAAGAAAAAGAGAGAAAGGAAAGAAAGAAAGAAAGAAAGAGAAAAAAAGAAAGAAAGAAAGACAGAAAGATGAAGAAGAGGGAGGGAGGGAGTGGGGGGAGGGAGGGAGGGAGTGGGGGGAGGGAGGGAGGGAAAGGAAACAAAGTGCCAAAGTCTGCAAGACACAATTTACCGTATTCGAGTCAGAGTATTCCGGAGTCCCACTACATAGAACAAGATGTTGGCGTCAGTGTTGCTGTAGATGCTATTAATGGCAGCCATAGTGGCACCCATCCTCCCTGCTGCAGCACAAATCACCACAGGAATCTCTTCTTCCAGTTCTTCAGGAGTCTCGGATTCATCATCTGGAAACATCAAAATTGGTGTCTTGGAACATGAAAGAATTTCACAGTAGAGCCAGTTTAATGCATCTTCCACAGTCCTGGGGGAAGATGGCATAGTGTGGAAGAGGCTGCTGATTGTTCTCCAATATCTAGTCGTTCTGTCTTCCCTTGGAAAAGAACTTTGGAATTTTAGCTGGCACATAGCCAACCACGAAGACTGGTTTACCAGACTCCCGTGCAGCTCTATATGATTGAGTTCTGACCAATGGGATGCTAGTAATGTGTGCCACTGCTGGGTCTACCCTTCAAAGGAATGCTCACCTACCCCCTTGCCTTTCCCCTTTCCCATTGGCTGGACTGTTGATATGACGGCAGGAGTTAGAGTAGCCAGCTTAGACCACAAGATGGAAGCTACTTGTTGAGGTCACCAAAACTATAATATAGACGAGATCTTGATCTGGATAATTGTGGAACTGATACATCAGACTTATACTTGAGAGAAGAAATAAACTTCTATTTTGTTTATGTCACTATTGAAACCATACTCCCAAAGAGTTAAAGAAACCAATGACTAATAAAAATTCTTGAGTTTGCAGAATGATAGATTAGAACAAAAAAAATTGCTGAAATGATGAAACTCTCTCCTTCTGAGATTAAGAAACTGGCTGAAATCAGTTGGAGCCAATCTGGTCAACTGAAGTTTGTTCAGAACAAGCTTGCTGATGTCACAGCTTGGATTTCCGCCCTGTGTTTCATACTAACTCCTCCCAGATTTGCACATGAGACCCATGAGGTAGCATGAAGAGATAACTGTGCATGCCCCAGGACTTTTTAGACCTCCTTTTCCCTTCCATCAATCACCTACTAATCCCAGAATCCACCCCTGAGCCTTTTCTAATAAAATTACTGCCTTAAAAGCTCCTGTCTCCTTGTTAGTCGATTTACAAGAAAAAGCTTTGCTTTTCTCAGAACCCGGGGTCATAGTGTTGGATTCTAGCACATCAGCCAGCCCGCCCTTTTGATCATAACACAAAATCTATATTTTGGAGCTATCTTACAGGAGTCAGTTGGCTAGCCTAAAACACACACACAGTTAAAAAAACATACAAAGAACTGAAAAGCCTCATTTGTCCAACAGTCCTCAGCTCTTCCCTGAATCAGAATATTTACTTTGCCTACACTGCTATAAGATACTCGTTGTGATTTTCCCTCTCCTATCCCCACTCTAGTCAAGTTTCTCAAATGTTGACAGCAAGAGGAAGGAGGTAAAGGAAAGAGCATGACTAATGCACAAGATAAATAATTTTTCTTTTGAGCCTGGCTATGCTATAAAATACCAAAGCCATAACATCATACTTTAGTGTCACAATACAACTTTCAGCCATGGAGAAGAATAATGATCCATAAGTAGAGTATCCAGTATCCACTATAAAGTATTCATCTGATTTTTACTTAAAGCTCTCTCTCTCTCTCTCTGTGTGTGTGTGTGTGTGTGTGTGTGTGTGTGTGTGTGTGTGTCTCTCCACCCCCTTTCTCCCCCTGCCGCTTCTCTTTCCAGATCCTTTTTGGAAAACCTCTATCCCTGAGGTCCAGGGTAGTTCTAGCTGATATTTCATTCAATAAACATTTCTTGAAACTAACTACCAGGTACTGTGTTTTGTGTAATTTAAGACACGTTGAATGGTCTCCTCTTTCTCCTTCTACATCTTTTCTACCAGCTAGCTACTGCATCTGAAATTTCCACCACTAGAATAATTTTGTTTTCACAATATATATACTGACATGAGAGAATGCTCATAAAACACTGTTAAGGAAGAAAATACAAAATTATCTCTAGTATTTTATCACAATTTGATACGTACATATTTGCAAATGGACCTATGTCTATTTATGGAGTTAGGAGTGATTTTGATTTTATTTATATTTCTTATACTTTCCAAAGTGACTAAAGTAACCATGATATGGTACAGCTCTGTGTCCTCACCCAGATCTCATCTTGAATTGTACCCCTATAATTCCCACATGTTGTGGGAGGGACCAAGTGGGAAATAATGTGAATCATGGGGGTGGTTTTCCCTATACTGTTCTCATGGTAGTGAGTAAGTGTTATGAGATCTGATAGTTTTATCAGGGATTTCTGCTTTTGCATCTCTCACTTTCTCTTGCTGCTGCCATGTTAGAAGTGCCTTTCGCCTCCTGCCATGATTCTGAGGCCTCTCCAGTCATGTGGCACTGTAAGTCCAATTAAAACTCTTTTTCTTCTCAGTCTCAGGTATGTCTTTATCAGCAGCATGAAAACGGACTAATAGAGTAAATTGGTACCTGTAGAGTGGGACGTTGCTGAAAAGATATCAACAAATATGGAAGCAACTTTGGAATTGGGTGACAAACAGAGGTTGGAACAGTTTGGAGGGGTCAGAAGATGACAGGAAAATGTAGGAAAGCTTGGAACTTCCTAGAGACTTTTGAATGGCTTTGACCAAAAGCCAGTTAGAGACATGGACAATAAGGTCCAGGGTGAGGTGGTCTCAGATGTACATGAGAAACTTGTTGGGAACTGAAGCAAAGGTGACTTTTGTCATGTTTTAGCAAAGAGACCAGGGGGATTCTGCCCCTGCTCTAGAGATTTGTGGAACTTTGAACTTGAGAGAGATAATTTAGGATATCTGGTGGAAGAAATTTCTAAGCAGCAAAGCATTCAAGAGGTGGCTTGGATGCTGTTAAAGGCATTCCAGTTTTATAAAGGAAGTAGAGCATAAAAGTTCAGAAAATTTGCAGCCTGACAATGTGATAGAAAAAAAAAACAAAAAACATTTTTTAAGGAGAAATTCAAGCTGGCTGCAGAAATTTGCGCAAGTAACAATGAGGAAAATGTTAATCCCCAAGACAATGGGGAAAATGTCTCCAGGGCATGTCAGAGGTCTTCACAGCTGCCCCTCCCATCACAGGCCCAGAGGCCTAGGAGAAAATGGTTTTGTGGGCTGGGCCCAGGGTCCTGTGCTGTATGCAGCTTAGGGACATGGTGCCCTGCGACCCAGCCACTCCAGCCATGGCTGAAAGGGGCCAACATAGAACTTGGGCTGTGGCTTCAGAAGGTGCAAGCCCCAAGTGTCGGCAGCTTCCACATGGTGTTGAGCCTCTGAGTGCACAGAAGTAAAAAAATGGGGTTTGGGAACCTCCACCTACATTTCAGAAGATGTATGGAAATGTCTGGATGCCCAGGCAGAAGTTTGCTGCAGGGGCGGGAGCCTCATGGAGAACTTCTGCTAGGGTAGTGCAGAGGAAATGTGGGGTAAGAGCCCCCACACAGAGTCCCTACTGGGGCACTGCCTAGTGGAGCTGTGAGAAGAGGGCCACCATCCTCCAGATCCCAGAATGGGAGATCCACTGACAGCTTGCACCGTTGCTGGAAAAGCTACAGATACTCAATGCCAGCCTGTGAGATCAGCTAGGAGGGAGGCTGTATCCTGCAAAGCCACAGGGTAGAGCTGCCCAAGACCATGGGAACCCACCTCTTGCTTCAGCATGACCTGGATGTGAGACCTAGAGCCAAAGGAGATCATTTTGGAGCTTTAAAATTTGACTGCCCTGCTGGATTTTGTACAAGCATGGGGCCTGTAACCCCTTTGTTTTGGCCAATTTTTCCCATTTGGAATGGCTGTATTTACCAAATACCTGTACCCCGATTGTATCTAGGAAGAGGAAGTAACCAGCTTGCTTTTGATTTTACAGGCTCATAGGCAGAAGGAACTTGTCACAGATGAGACTTTGGATTGTGGAGTTTTGAGTTAATGCTGAAATGAGTTAAGACTTTGGGGGACTGTTAGGAAGGCATGATTGGTTTTGAAATGTGAGGACATGAGATTTTGAGGGACCGGGGCGGAATGATATGGTTTGGCTCTGTGTCCCCATCCAAATCTCATCTTGAATTGTACTCCCACATTTCCCACATGTTGTGGGAGGGACCCAGTGGGAGATAATGTGAATCATGGGGGTGATTTCTCCCATACTGTTCTCATGGTAGTGAATAAATCTCATGAGATCTCATGGTTTTATCAGGGATTTCCACTTTTGCATCTCTCATTTTCTTTTGCTGCTGCCATATAAGAAGTGCCTTTTGCCTCCCACGTGATTCTGAGGCCTCGCCAGTCATGTGGAACTGAAAGTCTGGTTAAACCTCTTTTTTCCCTCAGTCTTAGGTATGTCTTTATCAGCAGCATGAAAACAGACTAATACAAACCATGAGTTATTTTTATAAACAAACCCCAAAAAAAGTTTCTTAAGGATTATTCCTTTTGGACTAAGTTATAATCTTATGGAGGTATCATGTGACATGTTACCTGCTGCCCGTGAAGTGATCGGCCACAAATGCGAATTTGTCTATGTTTCTTCATTGCTGGAAAGTTCCTCATTGGTTCCTAAAAGGTAAAGCCACATTTCTTCGCCTGGCACACAAGGCCCCTCATGATCTAGCCCCTGCTCACTTCTCCAGCCTCACCTCCTTCTATTTTAGCAACATCAAACTCCTCGTGGTTCCCTGAACACTACTGTTATCTTAGTGCCTTTGCACATGATGGTCCCAATGTCTGGAATGCTTTCAATATCCTTTTCTGCATGGCTAACTCTTACATAGTCATTCCAAATGCAGTATCAACATCATATCCTCTGGGAAGCTTTTAACAGCTCCCTACACAAATTAACACACATCTTCTCTATGCTGTGGCCTTGCCTATGGTTGAATTTATTAATTGCATTGGAATTTATTTGGTTGCATGTCTTCCCTCTTTCTCCTATTATACTAGGAACTCTGTGAGGGCGGGTATCCTGTTCATCTCTGTATCCTCTGCAGCTGTCCTAGTGCCTGGCACATAGATTTTCAATACAATCTGAACAGATGGGTGAATATTAGATATCTCTATTTGAGCACTTGCCACAATGCACTGGAAGAATCTATTTATGTGTCTGTCTCCTCCACTAGACTATAAGCTCATTATACTATCCCCACTGAGTCTGGCACTTTGGAAGTGCTTAATGAAAGTTTGTTGGAATGAACTAAATGGAATTGATAAATGAGCTTCAGAAAACGGGGCCCTTGAGGAATAAGAGGGAAGGGTCAAAAAGCTGGGGCTGTGCCTGGCTGCCAGACTCAGGCAGAGGCCTTCATCAGACAGTGGGAAGCACAAGGTAAAAGGAAAGTGTCCTCATAAAAGAGGGGACGCTCCAGAAGAAGGTCAAACATTGAGTGTCCAGCTCTGCTGCCAACACATGACACTGCCATGCTCCTTAGGGGCCTCTGCCAGGTAGAGAAACTGAGCACTAACCCAAGCCAAAAATGCTGTTCTCTGCCAAAAAGTTTCCCCTGGACAGAAAGAAGGACAAACGCACACTGGAGAAATGTGGCGGAAAGGCTTATCAACTGTACCTTCTTCATCAATGCTCCATCCTTGTAGTTTCTTTAGGAATTATCCGCTCCACTATTCGGATTAATTGTACCAACTGGTGCCTGAGCCAAAGCATTAAAAGGTTGGCTATGGGAAACTATTTGGTGCCTAACAAAAATATTAAACATCACAATACTGGCAGAATGGAATAGAAATGATACTGCCTTTGTCCATTCCATAAGCAGCTCTGATCAAGCCACGCCTATTCCTAGAAGAAAGGAAATGTCTGCTCTCCTAATGCCATGACTCAGAATGCATTTCAAATAAGGATTGTTTTAGCCAAGTGTATCAGCTTACCTCTCCCCAAGTGGGACAGCTGTGAGTGACCAGCACACTAATCACAAGAAAAGTACTGGGAGATTACATGCAACGTCACAATGGAGATATTACAGAGAATGCCGCCATGTCTTACTTGAACATAGGACTTCACAGGACCTCTGGACATTAACTTAGAACACTAGTTCTTTGAATTAATGTTTTTTAAATTATAAAAAATAATATGCAATTATTGAAAAAATTTCAGCCCAAAGAGAAGAGTATTTGGTAAATTGTGACTGTTTTCTGCAGACCTCTCACTCCCACTCCGAAAGTAGACCTCTGCTTTATAACAATATATAACACAACCAGTGTGGTGTGTGCCCCCTAAACCCTTCTTCATGGTAATACTAAAGCATATATACCTGGGCCAGGCGCAGTGGCTCACACCTGCAATTCCAGCACTTTGGGAGGCTGAGGTGGGCAGATCATCTGAGGTCAGGCATTTGAGACCAGCCTGACCAACATGGAGAAACCCCGTCTCTCCTAAAAATACAAAATTAGCCAGGCATGGTGGGGCATACCTGTAATCCCAGCTACTTGGGAGGCTGAGGCAGGAGAATCGCTTGAACCTGAAGGCGGAGGTTGTGGTGAGCCGAGATGGCACCATTACACTCCAGCCTGGGCAACAAGAGTGAAACTCTGTCTCAAAAAAAAAAAAAAAAAAAAAAAAAAAAAAGAATATATACCTTAAACACTTATTATTTAAAAGCCAAAATGGAATCATACTTTTCAGTCTCTTCAGTCTTTTCCCACTTAACATACCACAAGCATTCTTCCATACCAACACTACATTCATTTGAATGGTATTTTATAACATTGATTTTTTTAAAAATTTTAACACGGAATGGATAAACATGTGATAACGGATCCATTCATGTGGTCCAAATGCTTTGTTTCTCTGTATAGGTCTGATTAGTCAGTCAGGATGTGCATTTCTTTAGAGCTGTTTTAACAACTGTTTTAAACCCTATCCACTTCCTTCTCTGAAGAAGGGAGTCTGTGGTGGGATTAGCTGAGCGAATGTGTTGGTTTATGAGCAGGGATTGAAGCGTGAAGAGTGGAGTCAGTTCAGACGACATTTGTCTTTACGTGACTTCCTTCTCTCGCTCTCTTTTAGAACAGCTTATTGAGGTGTACATACTGCTATGGACTGAATTGTGTCCTCCAGAGTCCATTTGTTAACGTCTTAGCTCCCAGCATCTCAGGATGTCAGCGCACTTGGAGACAGAGCCTTTAAAGAGGCAATTAAGTTAAAATGAAGCCATTTGGTAGGCCTTATCCCAGTAAGACTGGTGTCTTGATAAGAGGAGGAAAAGAGCAGAATCACGCAGAGGGTCACAACCAGGAGTGCAGCACAGAGAAAAGGCCACGTGAGGACACAGCAAGAAGGCGGCCATCTGCATGCCAAGGAGAGAGACTTCAGGAGAAACCAAACCAGCTCGCACCTTGATCCTGGACTTCCAGCCTCCAGAACCAGAGAAAATATGTGTCTATGGTCTAGCCACCTAGTCTGTGCTATTTTGTTATGGCAGCCCAAGCAAATGAATACAGATTTTTTTCAATTTACCCATTGTAAGTGTACAGTTCAATAGTATTTAGTAAATTTATTGCACAACCATCACCACGATCTAGCTTTAAAAAGTTCCAATGAGCTGGCTGGTCTGCAGTCAATCCATTCCCACTCCCAGCTCTAGGCAACCACTGATCTGCTCTGTGTCTCCATAGATTTTCCCTTTCTAGAAATTTCATACAGATGGACTCATACAATATATGGTCTTTTGGGTCTGACTTCTTTTATTTAGCATAATTTTTTTTCAGGTTTATCCATATTGCAGCTTGTATCAGTCATTTGTTCCTTTTTACTGCCGAAAAGTATTTCATTGTGTGGGATGAATTACATTTTTTGCATTCCTCACTAGTTGATGTACATGTGAATTGTTTCCAGTTTGGGGCTACTATGAATTATGCCCTAAGAGCTTCTGTATATATGTCTTTGTGTGAAAATCATTCTCTTTGCAGATTCTATTTTCATTTAGATTAGATTATACATGTTTTTAATTATTTTTAAATGAATTTTTAAATTACAAAATATAATCAGAAAGAAATGCCAGCATCCTGGGAATAGGGATGTTGTTTTGTTCACTGCTGTGTTTCCAGTCCCTAAGTGTCTGGCTGAAAAAACAAACAAACAAACTGTGGAATAAATGTATGTAACACACCAAGTAACTGTATTCAGAGTCTCACTCTATCATCCAAGCTGGAGTGTAGTGGCACTATCAGGGCTCACTGCTGCTTAGACCTCCTAGGCTCAAGTAATACTCTCATTCCAGCCTCCCAAGTAGCTGGGACTACAGGCATGCCCCACCATGCCCAGGTAATTTTTTGTGTGCATGCAGACAGGGTCTTGTTTTGTTGCCTAGGCTGGGCTGGTCTCAAGCACCTGGACTCAAGTGATCCTCCTGCCTTAGCCTCCCAAAGTGCTGGATTACAAGTGTGAGCCACCATCGCCAGCCCATAAGTGTGTATTTGTTTGATTGATATAAAATGTAAATCAGCTGGGCACGGTAGCACATTCCTGTAATCCCAGCACTTTGGGAGGCCAAGGTGGAAGGACAGCTTGAGGCCAGGAGTTCAAAACCAACCTGGGCAGCATGGCGAAACCCATCTCTACAAAAAGTACAAAAAATTAGCTGGATGTGGTGGCACACTCCTGTAGTCTCAACTTCCTGGGGGTGCTGAGGCCAGAGGATTGCTTGAGCCCTGGAGGTCGAGGCTGCAGTGAGCTGCTATTGTGCCACTATATTCCAGCCAGGGCAACAAAGTGAGATTCTGTCTCAAAAAAAAAAAAAAAAAAAAAAAGTAAATTAATTAAAAATGTAATAAACAGTGCTTCTTGATTTTTATGGAAGTTGACTTTGTGTGTGCATTGGAGTTGTGAAGGTGCCATCTCAGGCAATTCACCCCCAAGGAGGGAAACAAGGCTCTCAGTATAGCTGGGAGAGAACAAAGGGCCAATGAAGGGCCATTTTCAAGTTGAGAGTTATGAGGCTGACTTGCACTGATGGGAATGAACCAGCAGGGAGAGGAGAGAGAGGGCGGTTTCCATAAGCAAAGTCATTGAGAAGCTCCAGAGAGATGGGGTGTGGAACAGTGCACTCACCCTGTGGTCCAAGAACCCACAGCATCAGCCTCAACCAGGAGCTTATCGGAAATGCAAATCTTGAGGCCCCACCCCATACCTACTGATCCTACACCTCGCAGGCAGGCCCAGTGCTATGTTTTAACAAGCTCTCCATGCAACTCTCACACATGCTAAAGTTTGAATAGCACTGACCATCCTAGGTCTCAACTGAAAAGGTGTTCTAGGGCAGATATTCTACTAGCAGGTCCTTGGGAGTTGACCAAGCTGTCACTTGTCCCTGAACCCAGCTATTGAAAGGACCTAGAGGAACACATTCAAACCACATTCCTGGGTATCCCAACTCAATGAATTCCATGTCCGCTCACCTGCATCATTCTTAGACACAGTCCCCTTATGAACTTTCTTGTACAGAATCACACAGAGGGTCACGATCAGAAGGAACAGCAGCACCTGATTAACTGAAATAGAAATGGAAACACATTAACGTTGAACCTACGAACCTGAAATCACGTGACAAAGTTTAGAATGGTAGTGTGAGTAGATTCCTTCCATGACACAGAGTGGTGTCTGAGACCTTTCTATAAGCAGAGAGCATATAAAGAATTAACCTGGCCAGGTGTGGTAGCTTATGCCTGTAATAACAGTACTTTGGGAGGCCGAGGCATGTGGATCACTTGAGCTCAGGAGTTTCGAGACCAGCCTGGGCAACAGAGTGGCACCCTCTCTCCACACACACACACACACACACACACACACACACACACACAATTAGCTGGGTATGGTGGCATGCACCTGTATTCCCAGCTACTAAGGAGGCTGAGATAGGAGGATAGCTTGAGCCTGGGAGGCGGAGGCTGCAGTGAGCCAAGATTACTCCAGCCTAGGTGACAGAGCTAGACCCTGTCTCAAATACAAAAACAAACAAACAGAAAGAATTAACCTGGAACACTATTGTTGCTCAGGGGTCTTGCATCTTTACTGAATTTGTATATCAGTTCTAACAGTTTTTTGCTGGAGTATTTAGAATTTTCCAAATATAAGATTATATTGGCCAGGTGTAGTGGCTCACACCTGTAATCCCAGCACTTTGGGAGGCTGAGGTGGGCAGATCACATGAGGCCAGGAGTTCAAGGTCAGCCAGGGCAATATGGTGAAACCCTATCTCTACTAAATATACAAAAATTAGCTGGGCGGGATGGTGCATGCCTGTAATCCCAGCTATTTGGGAGGCTGAGGCATGAGAATTGCTTGAACCTGGGAGGTGGAGGTTGCAGTGAGCCAAGATCACACCGCTGGGCAATACAGCAAGACCTTTCTCCAAAATAAAACAAAACAAAAACATATCATCTGCAAACACGGATAATTTGAGTTCTTCCTTTCCTATTTGGATGCCCTTTATTTCTTTTGCTTGTCTGATTGCTCTAGCTAGGGCTTCCAGTACAATGTTGAATAACAATGGTGAAACGCAGCCATCCTTGTCGTGTTCCAGATGTAAGAGGAAAGGCTTTCAGTTTTTCCCCATTTAGTATGATACTAGCTGTGGGTCTGCTGTATGTGGCTTTTATTTTGTTGAATTTATGTGATTCTTCTTTTGAGCCAGTAGTAATTATAAATACATGTTCTTAGCCATTATGACACAGTTGCTTCTCAGTTAATTCAACCCTTGGTCAAGGATGATGTGCAGGCCGGGTGCGGTGGCTCACGCCTGTAATCCCAGCACTTTGGGAGGCCAAGGAGGGTGGATCACTGGAGGCCAGGAGTTTGAGACCAGCCTGGCCAACATGACAAAACCCGGTTCTACTAAAAATACAAAAATTAGCCGAGTGTTGCGCATGCCTGTAGTCCCAGCTATTCAGGAGGCTGAGGCGGGAGAATCACTTGAACCTGGGAGGTGGAGGTTGCAGTGAGCTGAGATTGTGCCACTGCACTCCAGTCTGGCGACAAAGGGAGACTCTGTGAGAAAGAAAGAAAAAGGAAAAGAAGAAGAAGGAAGGAAAGAGAGAGGGAGAGAAAGAAAGAAAGAAAAAGAAAGAAAGAAAGAAAGAAAGAAAGAAAGAAAGAAAGAAAGAAAGAAAGAAAGAAAGAAAGAAAGAAAGAAAGAAGGAAGGAAGGAAGGAAGGAAGGAAGGAAGGAAGGAAGGAAGGAAGGAAGGAAAGAAAGAAAGAAAGAAAGGGAGAGAGAAAGAGAGAAAGAGAAAGAGAAAGAAAGAGAGAGAGAGAAGGAAGGAAGGAAGGAAGGAAGGAAGGAAGGAAGGAAGGAAGGAAGGAAGGAAGGAAGGGAACATTCTTGCCCTGGGTAAACAGAAGACCCCAATGCCTCCAAGCCTCCAGGTCTGTTTGTTCCAGTGATGTTGGCCCTTGGGATCTGCTGAGAAGTAGAGTGGTGTAAAACAGTGTTTTCTTGAATATGGAACACATAGCACCAGTTGTGCATGAAATGACTGAGGAAGTTCATGTTCATAGCATTAATATTTAATCACCATATGAGAAAGTCAGTCTTTCTGATTTTATGTGCAGGAACGCAACAAAAGCTACCCAGAATTGAATCACATTCTTCTAATTGTATACGTGTTTAAAGCTACCTTTTTTTTAATGATAGGCGATCATTCTGTTTTCATTTACAGTAAGGATAAAAACTTTCTATTTTGAAGTATAAATTTTAAAAATTAGTCAAAGAAAAAAAAATTTTTTTGAGATAAGAGTTTTGCTCTTGTTGCCCAGGCTGGAGTGCAATGGCACAGTCTTGGCTCACTGCAACCTCCGCTTCCTGGGTTCAAGCGAATCTCCTGCCTCAGCCTCCCAAGTAGCTGGGAGGCCTCCACCACCATGCCTGGCTAATTTTTGTATTTTTAGTAGAGACAGGGTTTCACCACGTTGGCCAGGCTGATCTTGAACTTCTGACCGCAGGTGATCCGCCCACCTCGGCCTCCCGAAGTGCTGAAATTACAGGCATGAGCCACTGTGCCTGGCCTAAAGAAAATATTAAGTAACGTTTAGGACAGAAGGAACACAACTGATGAAAAATTGAGAAGATGCATGGTGGCATGTGTAGTGCACACCTACCTAAAGTTTGGGAAAAGTTGGTAGAAGGGAAGAAGGTGTGAATTTGAAGTCAGATTCAAATCTCCTTTCTACCACCTCCTAGCTATATGGCCGAGGGGTATCTTAACCTCTCTGAGCTTGGTGTGCTTATCTGCTGAATGGAGATTGTAATAATAAGCATTACCTTGTACTACTGTTTTGAGAGTTAACCAAGGCAATGCAGGCCCGATAAATACTTTACAAATGGTTATGTACCACTGTTGTTATTATTTTATTTTATCTTTTTTTTTTTTTTTTTTTTTTTGAGATGGGGTCTCACCTCAGTTGCCCTGGCTGGAGTGCAGCAGTGTGATCTCAGTTCACTGTAACCTCAACCTTCCAAACTCAGGTGATTCTCTACCTCAGCCTCCCAAGTAGCTGGGAGTATAGACACATCACCACATCTGGCTATTTTTTTGTATTTTTTTTAGTAGAGATGGGGTCTCACCATGTTGCTAAGGCTGGTCTTGAACTCCTGGACTCAGGCAATCCACTTGCCTCAGCCTCCCAAAGTGCTGGGAATACAGGCATGAGCCATCGCACCCAGCCTGTATTTTTTTTTTATTATTTTTATGCATCAAGAGACTTAATCTATTGACTTCATATGCATCTATTTTTTGGCCTCTATGCCTTTGTCTTCCCATTTGTAAAAGAGTCTCCATGGATGCCTTCCAAAGCTACATCCTGAGGCTATGATTCTATTTTGCTGACACCCAGTTCCTCCCTGCCTTAATGGATTATCAGATTCAGCCAGGGACAATCAGATACTAGACTCAGTTTAAAACAAAATTATAGAGAAGCAGAAAATGGACAGAAAATGGACAAAATTCTACAGTTTATCAACAGGTTCGATTAATATTCACCTGCCACAGCCAGGCACAGTGGCTCACGCCTGTAATCCCATCACTTTGGGAGGCTGAGGCGGGTGGATCACTTGAGGTCAGGAGTTCAAGACCAGCCTGGCCAACATGGTGAAAACCCGTCTCTACTAAAAATACAAAAATTACCCAGACAAGTGTGTCTCATGCAATATTTGGGACATACTTATACTAAAAAATTATTTGTTGTTTATCTGAAGTTTAAATTTAACTGGTTGTCCTGTCCTGTGTCTATGTTTGCTGAATCTGGCAACTCTACCCTGACAGTCACAGAATTAGGTTACTATGTTTCTCCTCAAATTCACAAACTACTGGATCTAAAATCAGAGGCAAATCCAGGTTCTGATGGGTCTGAAGATTTGAGGTGACTCTTTAAGACTAAGAATACAAAATCACAAATTACAAATGCTAAATTAGCTACAAACATGAATATTTATTCCGAATGAGAAAATGCGTTATTTTTGCAAGTTTTATAGAACTATATGATCCCTGTTGTAAGTTCACTTCCACTTCTTCTTCTTTTCTTTTTTTTTTGAGACGGGGTCTCACTCTGTCTCCCAGGCTGGCATGCAGTGGTGCGATCTCAGCTCACTGCAGCCTCTGCCTCCCAGGCTCAAGTGATCTTCCTGCCTCAGCCTCCTGAGTAGCTGAGACTACAGGTGCCCGCCACCACGCCTGGCTAATTTTTGTATTTTTTGTAGAGATGGGGTCTCGCCATGTTACTCAAGCTGGTCTCAAACTCCTGAGCTCAACTGATCCGCCCACCTCGGCCTCCCAAGGTGCTAGGATTATAGGCGTGAGCCAGTGCGCCCAGCCAATAAGTTCACTTCTGACTAAAATACTGAACAACTCTCCCTGGGAATCATCCAGAAATGATGATGCCAAAAAGTGCCTGTGGGAAAACTATCCATGAAAATCAAAGATAATCCAAGAAAGAAGAAAAAAGCCAAGCCCGAGCCTCAAAACCATCCTCCCCAAATATCTGTTTTTAAATCATTATTTTCAAAAGTTGTAATCTTACTTTTTCGTAACAGAGCCATGTGTATTCACTCAGATAAGAACCGTAACCTGTGGATTAAAGAAAAAAAATCTGTTTGAAAGAGAATCAACTTAAAAGTCATCAACAAGTGTTAAGGACTATGCCTTCTCTGAAAGACTGATATATCGTGAAGTGTGTGAGAATTTTCTACTGCTCCGAATCTAAAATTTTGGAAACAAAATAAATACAGTCCCATGTCTTCAAAAGTGATGCCTGTGGTTGAACAAACCTTACTAAGGGTCCTCAAAAGCTAATCTTTAGTCGTCAGAATTTTTTTTTTTTTTTTTTTTTTTTTTTTTTTTTTTTTTTTTTTTTTTTTGGTGACAGAGTCTCACTCCATCACCCAGGTTGGAATGCAGTTGCGATCTTGGCTCACTGCAACCTCCACCTCCCAGGTTCAAGTGATCCTCCTTCCTCAGCCTCCCAAGTAGCTGGAACTACAGGCGTGTGCCACCACTCCCAGCTAATTTTTTTATTTTTAGTAGAGATGGGGTTTTGCCATGTTGCCCAGACTGGTCTCAAACTCCTAGCCTCAAGCAAGCCATCCACCTTGGCTTCCCAAAGTGCTGGGATTACAGGTGTGAGCCACAGTGCCTGGCCCAGAATTTTTTTTAACCTCCTGCAAAAAGAGTTCTGTCAGCCTTCTGGGTCAGCATAGCAGATGGCCGTAACTGGAAGTATCACACTAGAAGACTTCCTTGATCTAAAATATCAACCCTATGCTATCTTTCTACTATCAGAACTTCATTCCTTGATAAGGAAGCTTTTGTATCTTCAGGAATCCCTTGGAGGGGCATGCATTATACTCAATTCAATCATTCATTCAGTATTTACATATTGAGATCCTACTAAAAGCCCAGCACTGTGCCACTTCCCAGTGATGTACCAACAAATGAAACAGTCCTGGTCCCTATCCTCCTGGAGCTTTTGGTCCAGTGGGGGAAACAGATATTAAAATGTGACACATAAAAGTATTAGATTACGGTAAGTGCTATGAAGGAAGCAAAGGAGATGTTGGGATAAAGATGAACAGGGGTAGGGAGTGCATCAGGAAGAGAAATCAGCAAAAACTTCATTGAGGATATGGCATTGGAGGGAAGGAAGAGCAAGAGCCAGACAAGGGCAGAACATGCAGAGGAGCATCCCAGGCAAAGGGAACAGCAAGTGCAAAGTCCCTGGGGCTGGAAAGAGCTCTAAATATTCTAGGAACTGCAAGAAGCTCAAAGTCTCTGGATCACAGTGGATCAAAGGAGAGACTGGATGGAAGAGGCCAGAGAGGTACCAAGGGACCGGATACTACTGTGCCTAAAGAGGAGTTTGGATTTTATTTTAAGTGCACAAAACCCCCTCCATCAGTGTTTAACTTTGTTAAAGCCCTAAAGCACTGTTTTCCAAACATTCCCAAGGGAATTCTGAAGGTAAAGGAGAGTAAACACTTAACATTGCTCACAATGAGCTCAAAGTTTCACGTTTTTTGTTTTACCTTCAAATTCATGGGAACTGTGCAAGAATTAGTGGAAAGGAAATCACTCCTTCAACTGCTGGCAGAGTTCGCCCCTCAGGGAGAAAGCTATCTGTTATGAAAGCCAGGTCTTCTGTGCCTAGGTGAGATGGCCAGGTGAGAGCAGGGAAAAGCTAACCTGGTCTGAATAAGGGATGAACCAGAATCCTAAGGTTCGGCCACAGCCCAAGAAAAAATGTTATTAGAGGAGAAGGAAAAGTCCAATCACTTACCCAGGAGAACTTCCTTTCCTATGGCAGGCCCAGGGACTATTCAAGAACAGATGTCCAATACTCAGCCCACAATCTTCTTTCACTCTCTGCACCTTCTAACCTCAGCCCACCTCCACACTGCTCTTCCCACAGGACCTAAAGTGACATTTTAAGTGTTTTACCGGGTGTGGTGGCTCATTTTTGGAGCCCAGGGTGGGCAGATGCTTGAGCCCAGGGGTTGGAGATAAGCCTGGGCAACATAATAAGACCCCCCTGCAACGATCTCTACAAAAAAATACAAAAATTAGCAGGCATCGTGGTGCATGCCTGTAGTCCTAGCTACTCGGGAAGTTGAGGCAGGAGGATCGCATGAGCCCCGGAGGTTGAGGCTGCAGTGAGCCATGGCTGCTGCACTCCAGCTGGGAGACAGAGCAAAACCTTGTTTTAAAAAAGAAAAAGAAAGAAGAGATTGGAGAGAAGGAAGGAAGGAAGGAAGGAAGGAAGGAAGGAAGGAAGGAAGGAAGGAAGGAAGGAAGGAAGGAAGGAAGGGAAAGGGAAGGGAAAGAAGGAAGGAAGGAAGGAGGAGGAGGAGAAGAAGAAGAAGTAGAAGAAGAAGAAGAGAGAGAGAGAAAGAAAGAAAGAAAGAAAGAAAGAAAGAAAGAAAGAAAGAAAGAAAAGAAAGAAAGGAAGGAAGAAAGGAAGGAAGGAGAGGAAGGAGAAGGAGAAGGAGGAGGAGAAAAGAAAGAAAGAAGAAAGAAAGAAAGAGAGAGGGAGAGACAGAAAGAAAAGAAAAGAAAGGAAAAGAAGAAAAACTGCTGCTTTCAGAAGAGCTGCCAGATTTGTCATGTGTCTTTTTGTAGCCCCAAGCTCACAGCAATAATATTCCAGGGGATGTTTATCAGGTCCCAGATTAACATCAGGAGGGGGCATGCTTTCAGCGTGACTGCAAGGAGAAGGGAACACAAATGGAAAGAAAGAGACCCCTGGAAGAAAGGCTGGAGGACTGTCAGAGACAGATTTGGGGTGAGATATGCCTGTTTCACATTGTTATACATGATTAAAGTAATTAAAATACCCACCTCTACCCAACTTCATGTAACCCAATATTAAAAGGCCTTTTTGTCTCTGTGTTGAAGATTACAGAAAATATAGGGGGGGTAGGCTGGTAGAAAAAGGGAGATTTTTTTGGTTGATAGTCTTACAGGATTTATACTGAACATATTTAATAACTCATATGGCCTTTGGCACTGATCAATCAAAATGGGTACCAGTTATAAATGGCTGGCACAGTCCCACAGAAGTGTTCTGACTAATAAATAGCAGCTTTGGCACCTACAGAATGTCAGATCATACTAATGTATTATCTATTTATACATACAAATAAGCACAGGAGATTCTACACACACACACACACACACACACACGCACACACACATGATGCATTGTATTTTGCTAAGCAGCAAGAACTATAACTGTCACATCATCAACCATTCTCATATTCTATCACACCAACTTTTTACATAAAGTCCTTTGCATAAGAAAAATGCAGGGCAAATTCTAAGAGGCCTATCAACTAGGTGTATTCCAAGAACAACTTATTTTAACAAAAGAGACCAGCTGCTGCTTCAGAGCATAAAGAATTGGCCCATGAGAACTATTTTTCTGCCAAGGTATTTGATACATGTTGACAAGCAAATTTATTTCTGGTCTTCTGGATTTACACACATTTCCTACTGTGAGTTCTTTCTTGATGTTCTTAAAAATTGCTATGCATCAGGGGGAGGGAGAGCATCAGGATAAATAGCTAATGCATGCGGGGCTTAATACCTAGGTGATGGGTTGATAGGTGCAGCAAACCAGTATGGCACACATTTATCTATGTAACAAACCTGCACATGTATCCCAAAACTTAAAATAAAATAAAATTTCAAAAATTGCTATGCATACTGTTTCTCTTTTATTAGGTAGTATTTTCTGAATTCTTTAGACTGCATTGAAGAATCAGAAAGAGCGCTTCACCCAGGGAAACACAAATGGTTCTGTATAATAAACATTCAGTATATCTGTTTTCATTTTAAATAGGCTTCTTTTCCATGACACATTTATTAAAGGAATATTACCATGTCAGCTGCAAAATTTGACATGTTGATTTTTAAGTTTTTTAAAATTTACACACATTAGAATTTACTTTTTTGTTTCTGTCATTCTATGGACTTTTACACATGCATAGATTCTTGTAACAACCACCACAAATGGGATAGAGAACAATGCCAACACTCCTAAAGAATTCCCTTGTGCTGCCCCTTTGTAGTCAGGCCCTGTCCAACACCTAGCCCTTGACAACCACTGATCTATTCTCTGTCTCTATAGTTTTACCTTTTCCAGAATGTCATATAAGTGGAATCCTACAGGATGTAATATTTTGAGAGACTCTCTTTTTTCAATTAGCATAATGCTTTTGAGATTCATACTTGCTACTGCCTTTACCAATAGTTTGTACCTTTTTATTGCTGAATAGTATTCCACTGAATGGATATACCACAGTTTATCCATTCACCCACTGAAGGACACTTGGGTTGTTTCCATTGTTTTGTGATTATGAATAATGTTTCTATAAACACTTGTTTACAGGTTTTAGTGTGAATAGAGGGTAACTACCTAGAAGTGTTATTGCTAGGTCTTTTGGTAGATATATATTTAACTCTATAAGAAACTGCCGGCCGGGCACGGTGGCTCAAGCCTGTAATCCCAGCACTTTGGGAGGCCGAGACGGGCAGATCACGAGGTCAGGAGATCGAGACCATCCTGGCTAACACGGTGAAACCCCGTCTCTACTAAAAAATACAAAAAACTAGCCGGGCGAGGTGGCGGGCGCCTGTAGTCCCAGCTACTCGGGAGGCTGAGGCAGGAGAATGGTGGGAACCCAGGAGGCGGAGCTTGCAGTGAGCTGAGATCTGGCCACTGCACTCCAGCCTGGGTGACAGAGCAAGACTCTGTCTCAAAAAAAAAAAAAAAGAAAGAAACTGCCAATCTAAGCTGGGCACAGTGGTTCATGCCTATAATCCTTGCACTTTGGGAAGCCAAGGTGGGAGGATCGCTTGAGCTCAGGAGTCCAAGACCAGCCCTGGCAACATAGTGAGACCCCTGTCTCTGTGAAAACAAAACAAAACAACAAAAACCTCAAAAACCAAATGTGGGGAGTTAGAGAAAAAAAATTAGCCAGACATGGTGGTGGGCACCTGTGGTCCCAGCTATTCAGGAGGCTGAGGTGGGAAGATTGCTTGAGCCTGGGAGGTTGAGGCTGCAGTGAGCCACG